AAATATTTACTGTCTGGCCTTCTATACAAAAAGTATTGTTTTTTAACAGACTTATTGAGGCATAATTCACATAACTTACAATTCACTCATTTACAATTTATTGGTTTTTAGAGTATTCTCAGAATTGTGCAACTATTGATGCAATCTAATTTTAGAACATTTTTATCACCCTAAAAAGAAACCCCTTACCCATTTGGCAGTCACTTCTCATAGCCTGCCACCAGCACTAAGCAACCATTTACTTTCTGTCTCTATAGATTTGCTTATTCTGGATATTTCATATAAATGTCATCATATAGTCTGCAGTCTTTTCTGACTAGCTCCTTTTATAAATGCCTAAATAATGTTTTCAAGGTTCTTTGTGTCGTAGCATGTATCAGTGTTTCATTTCTTTTTATGGCTGAATAATATTCCATTGTATAAATATATCACATTTTAAAAATCCATTCATCCATTGATGGACATTTGGGTTGTTTCCAGTTTTTGGCTATTATGAATAATGCTGTATGAACATTGATATACAAATTTTTGCATGGACATAAGTTTTCATTTCTTTAAATATGAAATATACCTAGGAGTGGTATTGCTGGGTCATATGGTAACTCTATATGTCATCATTTGAGGAATGCTGGAGTTTTTCAAAGCATCTGTACCATTTTCCATTCCCACCACGAATGAGGATTCTAATTTCTCCTTGCCACCACTTGTTGTTGTTATATCTTTTTAATTGTAGCCGTCCTAGTGAGTATAAATTGATACCTCATTGTGGTTTTGATGTGCATTTCCGTGATGACTAATGATGTTGAGAATATTTTCATGTGCTTATTGGTCATTTGTGTATCTTGTTTGGAAAATATCTATTGAAGTATTTTTGAATTTATTTATTTAGAGACAAGAGCCTTGCTCTGTCACCAAGGCTGGAGTTCAGTGGCACAATCTTGGCTCACTGCAACCTCTGCCTCCCAGATTTAAGCGATTCTCCTGCCTCTGTCTCCCAAGTAGGTGGGAATACAGGCACACGCCACTGTGCCCAGATAATTTTTGTATTTTTGTAGAGATAGGGTTTTGCCATGTGTCCAGGTTGGTCTCGAACTTCTGACCTCAAGTGATCTGCCCACCTCGGCCTCCCAAAGTGCTTCATGCTCATTTTTAATTAGCCTATTTGTCTTTTTGCCATTGAGTTGTAATAACTCTTTATATATTTTTTATACTATACTCTTATCAAATACATGATTTGCAATTATTTTCTCCTATTCTGTGGTTTGTCTTTTCATTTCTTGCTAGTGCCCTTTGAAATACATTTTTAATTTTGATGAAATTCATTTTATTTTGTTACATCTAAAACCATTTCCTAATCCAAAGTCATGAAGGTTTACCTCAGTGTTTTGTTCTAAGAGTTTTGTATTTTCAGCTTTTACATGTAAGTCTGTAATTAGTTAATTTTTGTGTATGGTGTAAGATAGGGGTCCGACTTCATTGTTTTGGATTTGACTGTTCATTTGTCCCAATATTTGTTGAAGACTGGTTTTTTTTTTTCCCCATTGAATTATCTTGGCACCATTGTTGGAAATCACTTGACCATAAATGAGAAGGTTGATTCTCAATTCCGTTCCATTGACATCTATGTCTATCCTTAGGGCAATACCACATTTCTTTGATAATTACATAGTAAGCTTTATGTAGTAAGTTTTGAAATTTTGAAAGACAAAGGTGTTAGTCCTCCCTGTTTGTTCTTCTTTTTAAAGGTTGTTTTGGCTCTTCTAGCTCCCTGGAATTTCCATTAAGACCAACTTGTTGATTTCTGCAAAAAAGCCAGCTGTGATTTTGATAGAGGTTGCATTGAAACTGTAGATCAGTTTAGGGAGAATATTAAAGCCTCTGATTCATTAACATGGAATATCTTTCCGTTTATTTAGGTCTTTAACTTCTTTCAACAATGTTTTGTAGTTTTCAGATTATAAATTTTACACTACTTTTTGTAGTCTATTCAGATTTTGTGTTTCCTCTGGAGTCAGTTTTAGTAGTTTATCTTTCTAGAAATTTATCCATGACATCTAAGTGATCTAATTTGTTGGTTTACAGTTGCTCATAGTATTCCCTTAGAATCCTCTTTATTTTTGTAAGGTCAGTAGTGATACCTCCTAATTTTAGTTATTTGTGTCTTCTCTCTTTTTGTTCTTAGTCAGTATAGACAAAGTTTACCAATTTTGTTGTTCTTTTCAAGAACCGACTTTTGGTTTCATTTTTTCTATTGCATTTCTAGCCTCTGTTCCATTAATTCCCACTCAAATATTCCTTCTGCTTGCTTAAAGTTCAATTTGCTTTTGTTTTTACAGTTTCTTAAGGTAAAACCTTGGGGTTACTGATTTGAGATATTTCTTTTTTTAAAAGATAAACTTTTCCAGCTATAAATTTCCCTTTAAGAACTGCATCCCATAAATTTTGGTATGTTGTTGTTTTTTTTTTTTTTTTTTTTTTTTTTAGGAATCTGTTGTTTAATTGTTACATATTTGTGAATTTCCCAAATTGTTTTCTCTTGCTGATTTTTAATTTTATCCCACTGTGGTCAGAGTACATACTTTGTGACTTCAATTATTTTACATTTATTTGAAGTTTGTGTTATGGCCTAGCATGTGAGCTATCCTGGAGAAAGTGCCAGGCATGTGTGCTTGAGAAGATTGTACATTCTACTTGGGTTAGTGATATGTTTTATGGCTATTAGGTCTAATAGGTTGATAGTGTTGGTCAAGTGTTCTATATCCTTGATGGTTTCCTGCCTACTTATTCTATTCATTACTTAAAGTGAGCTATTGATGTCTCCAACTAATAAAAGTTGAATTATCTATTTCTTCAATTCTATCCATTTTTGCTTGATATTTTTGGGTCACTGTTGTTAGGTGCATATATGTTTGTAATTGCTGTATATTCCCAATGGATTGGCTGTTTTAACATCATAAAATATTCCTCTTTGTCCCTAGTAAATTTTTGTTTTAGAGT